ATCTTTGACTTGTATATATCAGAACCAAATTTATAATTTGCAATTCCGATTCAAAATGAAACTACCTAATTTTCGTTGCAGATTTTTAAAATATCGGATATTGTATTTAATTTACATAACCATAATCTAAATTCCATTGGCATTAGATTTGAAAATTAAATTACAGAGGCTCATACAAAACAGAAAACCTTAATCAGCAAGAATTTGGCGGTACAGGTTTCAAAAAAATTCCTCCAGAAAGCAAAAACTGCTACCCATTTTTGATTCTATAATCAAAATCGACCAAAGTTCGAAAAAAAACTAAGATTTATATATATATATCAGAATCAAAATAATTTGCGATTTAATTCCGATTCAAAAGAAAATAACTCTTCGTAAAAACAGAATCGAAAATGTATTTAATTTTACAATCCCCTATGAAAATTAATAAAGAGGATAATGAATAATCTTCGAGCGAACATACGGAAGATTCAGTCTCCTTATACTGGATCACTATACATGTTTTGTAAGTTCTATCATTTAATAATTCAACGATCCTAAAAGTATAATTACCCTTCTTCTTCTTCTTCATCATCATCTACACTACCCTGTTATATTGCCTCAGCTACTATTAAATTATTATTATTATTACCCATAAAAACCAACTTTTCTTTTATAAACTCTTTTTAAAATTGCAAATTTTTTTTAATATTTAATTTACAAATGGAAAATTTTCAAGGAAACCTACTCTCTTTTCAATTTTTTATCTAAAAATAAATATCATTTATTTTTTCTTATTGTAGTATGCTTTTATCATTTATATTGACAATGGAATTAGCAGTATTTTAATAAAAAAAAAAAAATTAAAAAAAAAAAATGACGTTAATGTAAAAAAAAAATTGTATTAAAGTACACGGCGGCTTTTGGTCAAAGGTTAATGTTTGCCCGAAGTGTTTCCTTTTACGCACACGGGCTTTAATTCCCTGAGAGTTCTCATTTGATGCAAGAAACCTGAATAGTCCGCATCTCACTCAAACGCCCCAGAATCAGTGAAATTTTTCTTTTCACTGAATTTCACAGACGACTCAGCTAGAATTTCCTTTGGTGCCTTATTTATATAAAAATATATATAGGCAAAAAAAAATATATATAAAATTATATATCTATATATATTTATTGACGTGTTCTCTGATGTATATATGTACAATTTACTTATACATATGAATAAGGGAAAGTGCACTCGAACATGGTATACACTTTGCTACCTATGAGGATTTCCTGAGTGTCGTCGAGCACGTTTCTTCAAGGATGGAGAGAGAGAGAGAGAGTAAAATAAAAAAAAGAACTATCAACCCAGGTTTCGCATACTTTGGAGATTTTATTCGACGCACGTTTATCTTTCGTTGCTGTGAAATGTACTGTGCAAGAATTAAATCCACCTTGATCGTGACGCAGTTGTAAACGATGCCTCGAATTTACGGTGGGGGATGAAGTCAATCAAATACGTGAAAATAAGAGAGAGAGAGAGAGAAAGAGACTAGTACGGGATTCGGAAGAGAAAACAATATTCTTTTTTTCATCTCCCCCTATCAGAAGAAGGAAATGTTTATTTTATAGGGTGCTAATCGTTTTACGGTGTTACTGGATTTACGGATAATTGCATCGAAAACGTTTCGCACATTATATAATTAATTGTCCCATTCACACATCGACCGCCAACAATCACAATAATTTCATTAATTGTTCCATTTTTTTTTCAAAGCATTATGAAAATTATCAATTATTAATTATTAATTATTAATTAGCAATTAGTCATTAAAATTACAGTATTTACACTGAGAAAAATATGCTATTGAATTAATTAGCATTTCTGCCAAAGGTATACAAAATTATTGATTCAAAAGCATATATGCTATAGAATCTATAAAATATTTTACAAATTTTATAGCATATCAATAATTTTTATACCTTTGGCAGAAATGCTGTTGATTCAATAGCATATTTTTCTCAGTGCTTATATAATTATTATAATTATTTGTATATTTGTAATTATTATTCAAATTATTTATAATTATAATAATTTTAAAGAACTCAATTTTTTTCTAAGTTTTTATCAAAGAAAATTTAAACTGACGCGGTAAATTGTATTTTTAACAGGTTATTTGGTGAAAACATGTAAATTTAGAAAGTTGCTGCTAAATTATACTTTTACTATGTAAAAAGTATAACTATAAAAGCTGCACTATCGCCTCGAGGAACTTAGTTACAAGTACCACTTCTCTTTTTTTCTTTTCTTTCATTTTTTTTTCTTTTTTTTCTTTTTTTTTTGAAGTTTCTCCACGAGTAAAAATCCTTTTTAAAGTTTTCTCACGTCTTTAAATACTCGGTTGAGAAAAAAATTTTTTCAAGTTAGTAAAAAATCAAAAAGCTCGGATTTCTGGGAAAAATTCATTTCACCATCTCTTTCCTTGCACAACGCAGTAATAATTAATAATAGAAAGGCACAGTTTAATTAATTTTCTGCATCTTGCAAACTTTATACAAAGTATTTGCCATCACAATGGAATAGAATAGAAATTATTGATTATATATTTTTTAATAAGAAATCCAATTAAAATCAATCAACAAGTGTTTATGCAATATGCAATTAATTATACTTGTTGTAAATTTTTTTGTCTACTAATTTTTATTTATTATTAAATTTAACTAAAGAAGAAAAAAGAAGATTAACACAAGTTTTCGAAACTATTTTCACTTGTTGTTATACAAATAATAAAACATCAATTCTATCGTATGAAACCAAAGAAAGTTTTTGCCACAAATTTAATCCTCCAATGAGTTTTGGAGAAAAGGTATAAAATTCGTTTGAAGTTTTCTTAAAGGAATTTTCAACTCTTATTTCTTTTGTTGTTTTCGTTACGTTTATGGGAGCAAGGGAAAACGAGAGAGAGAGAGAGAGAGACGATATGTTGTAACCACATTGCAGGGTTGAGAAGTTGAGATCAAAAGTGGTTGATTTTGTGTGTAAACGTTGCCCTCTGTTACGTCGAGTAATGGGACTTTAAAGGCTCTCTTGTCGTGCACAAGTGCGGTACTCGACAAACAAGATCTTCTTAATGAGTATAATCCGCAAATAATTATATCGTTTATATAATAATGCATCTAAGGAAATAATTTTGATAACATCGCAACATTTCAATTTCAAAATATATATTTTCAATATTCGAAATATGAAAAATAAACGATTTTACTGTATATATATGATTGTTAAAATCTCCCTTGAAGAAAAAGAAAAATCCCCGAAGAAAATGTTAAGCCTCAAAAGAAAATATTTTCAAGAAGAAGAAAAAATCTTGTTGAAAACAAGTTAAAAAAAAAAAACGAATCGGAAAAAATCCTAAGAAAGATTGCAAGTCTTAGAAATGTTGAAGGCTATATAAAGAAAGCACGTTTCAAGTTAAAGCGTCACTAGAAAAATTCTCAACAAAAGAATTTCATTTCTAAAAACGGAAACTGCGAACGTGTGTCACTGGACATATATACCTAAATCGAATGCTTCTGACTATATATATCTATATCTTCATGTCTCTATATATACTATATTGTAAATGACAAATTTCAACTGAAATTTGAAGCATTTAATACCAGACAGTTATGAACCACAAGAGACATTCTGACAAGCCTTTGACTCGCTAAGGTTGTTCCATTAAATGTACTCGGAGAGAGCACATCCTGACAATTACGTACTTGCTCGCTCCAGTTGTCATTCCTTGAATCTGTATCGCTTGTTAGACTCGTTGCTACTCGTTTTAAAATAAAAAATAAAAAAAAAAATATATATACGCGTCTCTCCCTTTTTATTCTTGAATTTAAATTTTCCACCAGCAACTTGCTATTTAACCAAGCGCATTTATTGTGAACCAGTTAATTCATATAAGCATTTTACACTTGTTCTCACAAATTCTTTAGAAATTTCTATGTATATACATTTGCAGTTTATCTCTCCAGCGAGAGATTTTCTTTATATCATCTAAATTTTTCACATGTTTCCATTTTCAAAATTACGTTACAATTTTTTTTTTTATAAATTAAAAAAGTCAAATATTTCTTTATTATTTATTTTTATTAATTTATTATTTTTTTATTTATTTATTATTTATTTAGAAAAAAGTTTTTTGCCAATATCGAAAGAATTTAAAAAAAAAAAATACCAAAAATTCTTTAACTCGAAATTTAAGGAAAATAAAATTTAAATACATTTAAAATTTCTATTTTGAAATAATTGAATTAAGATGTAAATTTATTGAAATCAATGTATTTAAATTGTAAATTTATTTGATTTTAAAATTCACGAAACTTTCCCAGAGAACCTTTAAAGGAAAATCAAAAACGAAGACGAAAGAGAGAGAGAGAGAGAGAGATTTTCATAAATGTTAATACAGCAAGTAAATCTTTGTGGTGAGCGAGCGCGGGTTTAAAAAAAGGGGGGTTTGAGGAAATTTAAAGGAGATTTTACTTGCGGTATCGTATAGATAAATAGAAAATGGATTCAGGATAAGGTCGAACTTGGAACTCGATAGTTATAAAGTTAAAGCAAAAGGAAAAGCGGGAGCCGCACTTCATCGTGACAGTGATTAATTGAACAAACCACACAACTCTCCCAACTCCTTACTATTTAGCTTATCCAAAATTTAGCACAACGATCTAACTATTTTGTATTTAATGTCCATACACGTTAACTAATCGTGTTAAATTGATAATGGAAATTTATTACACACTAATGACAACGCCATTTTCGGAAATCATTTTAATTTTAAATTCAAAAAAATTATTTTAACAAAAAAAATTGTTTTTTCCTCAGAAGAAAATTAATTATGTAATTTTTCATACTAAATTATTCCTCTTAAATCGAGAGGAATTTTCTTTTCAATTGAAAAAAAAAGTTCTTATGTAAAATTATTTTCAAAAATAATTAATTCTAGCAAATTAAGATAAAATTGAGTAAAAAAATTATTACGAACCATTTAATCCTGTATCAAACATCCATGCTCTGGGTATAATATCCAAGAGTCTGAAAAAGAAAAAAATAGTTAAAAAATTTATTTTCCAAACAATTTTATATAAATCTAATTACAATTCGCATAATTTTTAAAAAAACAAAAAATGGTGAGATAAAGAATTTTCAAAAAATGTCACAAACAAAATTTGTGAAAATGAAAAAATTTGATTAGAGAGTGAGAGAGAGAGAGAGAGAGAGAGAGAGGCTGTACGATCATTGTAATATATTCCAATTTTCAATCAATTCACTTCGATAGAAATAAATGGTATTTTATTCAATTATCGAGAAAGTGGATTTATTGTCATCTAGATTGTGATTTACTCACTCAATTGACGAATAAAAATTTGAAAACATTTCAGCATTAAAAGCGCGAAAGCAACAAAAAAAAAAGAAAAAAAATTCCCAATATTGAATTTAAACCTGTAAATTCCACTTTATACCAAACATTCCATCATGATTGAAAGTGTCAAAAGTCCTTTCCTTTGATTGAATCAAATCGAATTCTGATATATATATATATATATATATATATATATATATATATATATATATATATATATATATATATATATATATATATATATAAATAAATACTGATCAAGTTTGAACAGTAAATATATATATTATCGTTAAATTTTTTTTTATCTCCCATTGTATTTATATTCTCCAGCAAAACAAAAAAAAATATTTTTCAATTTAAAAAGAATATTCCACTTTTTAATTTACAATATTTTTTTTGTAAAATAATAATACATAATTCGCATTATTATTATTTTTATTTTTATTATTATTATTTTTATTATTATATTATTATATTATTATATTATTATATTATTATAATTATTAATTATTAATATTATATTATTATTTTTATTGTTATTATTATTAATTATTGTATAATTATATATAATTTATTATATTATTAATTACTTTGTAATAATGCATTACAATAATTTTTTTTTAACTGTCTAATAATTTTCAAGTGTATTTTGTTGTAAATTTGATTTTACATTAGCGCATGATATTTAAATTGAGACAGCAGTTTGCATAATTTAACGATAAGAGCCCTAATGAACTTCGCCACGTACGCCGAAAGCTATATGAAAATCGCTCCATTTCCCGTGACATAAATATTCTTAAATAAAAATTTTTAATTCAAATAAAAAAAAAATTTTTTTTTTTCCACCTCAAGAAATATTTTTTCCCGCACACTGAAAAAAAATTTATTTAATTCAAATAATTCATTTTACTATTATCAAATAAATATTTACTTGAACCAAATGATTATAATATTATTTTAGTCAATTAAATGTTATTTGTTTCAAATACAGAAATTATTGTTTCAAATATAATTTAATTAATTCAAATAAAAAAATTATTTAGTTCAAGTTTTATTTGATAATAGTCAATCGATTATTTGTATCAAATAAATTTTTTTTCAGTGGCACAAAAAATAATAATTATACTCTTTTTATTTTTCTCTCAATTATCTATCATCGAATTACGATAAATTATATTTATATAGTTTTTTTTTCTCTTTTTTTATTTCAATGACAGTTTAAAAAAGAGGATGTGATTTTTCAAAGGGGATTTTTGCTCCCTCTTGCTTAAAAGAATTGACGTGTGTAAAAGACATAAAAAATTAGAACATTGTCTCAGCTGCTCCTGCGCAAGAGACTTGACGATTTCTTCATCTCATTTCTTTTTTATCCTCAAGTCTTTTGCAGCTCAAAAAGGGGAAAAGAAAATGCGAGAGTTAGAGAGGAAAAGCCAATATATATATGGTTGTAAAGGGGAAAAAAAAAAAAAAAAAAAAAAAAAAGTTGCATATATCTATATTACCAAGGTGTGTGCGGTTGGTATTCTGAGATACGTCAAAACTACTTATGCGTTGATCTATTCTGAAGCATGTGCGAGAAGAAAGGTCCCATAGCAGTGTGGCTGCAGTGTGCAGGGATTATGATAAGATATTCACTGCTAGAAACAGCAAGAGAGAGTGAGAGAGAGAGAGAGAGGAATTTGCAGCTTCCCGGGTACCTAGAAGGTAATATAAGGAAACGCCGAAAGAAAATAGCTTGATCTTGACTTGGCTAAAGGAGGAGGAAAAGTAAAGGGGTTGAGGAGTGAAAAAGGAGTGATGTGATAGAGGAGAAGAGATATAGATAGGCGAGAGAGCAAGAAAAGTAAACGTAGTTCAAGATGAACTAAAAGGAGAGAAAGGAAAATTGGAAAGGAAACGAGAGGAAGAGAAGGGAAAAAAAAGGACCATCCACGTAATACAAACTCTCTGCCTATACCGATATCCCCCCTATATATATATAGCACTTTTATTTTATGACCAAATTATTCCTCAGCGAAATAATTCCATCTTCGCGCAAAAATGCTATACTGTATATTTATATATATAACCCTCTCACTCTATGTATATGCATAAAACCAGATTGTATTCTAAAATACAAATGAGAAAATTCTCTTTTTCTCAAATAAAATAGGATGAAATTTTTTGTGATTCAAGACATTCGTAAATTTTCCCTTTTTCACTGCCAAAAATATATACTATTCTTATTATCACATATTAAAAGAACCAAATATTATATATAAATAAATAAATTATTTTTTTGTACTAAATTAAAAAAAAAATGTTTATCTCTGTTTCAGATTTTCCAAGTTTCGTTGTTTCTATTACGAACGTTACGGCTGCCATTGGGAAAAAGGCAGTCTTATCTTGTACAATACGAAATTTAGGTCATTACAAGGTAAAATAAAAAAAAAAGTGCTTTTTAAATTTTTTATCTCCCGGAAAAATATTTTCACTAACAACTAAATTGTCCGACATGTGACATATCGCAAACGAATATAATAAGTAGTTACACAAATTCAAAAAAATATTTCTATATGGAAAAAAATACAATTTTAAAAATTGTTTTATATTTATATTGTTTAAAATCTGACAAATCGCTATTCAAGCTTTTTATTTGAATATATATATATATAAATTAATTATGTATTTACAACTAAAATTATAAATCCATATAAACAAATGTTAATTACACATGGGAAGATGATTAGCAAATTAATATGTGTCATTCATTTATAAATATGAATTTTCACATATCATCTATATAATTACTGTTATGTCCATTATATCCGAACAATGAAATCGATTCAATCAATTCGTAATTAATTTCAAATAATTGAAATATCCGACATGAACAATATGTTATAGTATATACATACTCCAATTACATATATATGTGAGATAATGAAATTAAAGTTTATTTTTTTGGCTTTTATAAATCGTTTTCGAGAATTCTAAAAAAAAATATTTGCATTTATTATTTTTAATAAAACCAAACTCTAAGTACATGAACATAATAATGTATTTTCATACATATCTTTTACTATAATTAGAAAAATTTCCCTTAAATATTATTTATTCAAAATATTTTAATAAAAATAACAAAATATTTATAATTAAATTAATTTAAAAAGAACAAGCAAACATTAATGATTTTTTAAATAAGCAGGACTTTTATTTTAACAAAACATTTAATTATCCACATAAATAAAAAAATATAATTCTACAAAACCTCATATGACGAGAATATAAAAGGAGAAAAGAGAATTTAAAGTGCTATACTAAAATAGTCTGTGATTGTACCAATTTATTGCAATGAGAAGCCCGCCTTTCGTTTGTCGGATAAAACCTACAAATTAAACAAACAGTTCTCCATAAACTCAAAAAACTTTTCTTCAAAGCAACATGTAAACTCGACTACTATAACTCATTTTTGCAATTATTCAAACTTTCTAAAATTATTATTTTCAAATCAATATATTATATCAAATAAAATATTTAAAAAACATAATAATTAAAATTAATTTAAATAAACAGTACATTAATTAAAAAAATTAAGGTCAATTAAAAAATGTGCAATTTTTAAATTTAAGAGATAAACCACCGGTAATAGAACCAAAGTCTTAACCCGGAAGTTGACTACAAAAAATTTATGGCGCACTTTTTGATTGGTCCAGCGGATGCTGAGCTACACTAGAAAACAAATTTGGAAAAAATTTAGAAAAATTAAATTTGCGAGATAATCGTTCCGGAATACCGCCAATAAAATAGGGAAAAAGTTTCGAACAAAATATGTATGGCGCACTTTTTGATTGGTCCAGTGGATGCTGAGCTACACTTAAAAATATTTTGGAAAAATTTCGAAAAATTAAATTTGCGAGATAATCGTTCGGGAATACCGCCATAGTGATTAAAAGAAAGTTCTGAACAAAAAATGCAGGGCGCACTTTTTGATTGGTCCAGCGGATGCTGAGCTACACTCAGATAAATTTTTTAAAAAATTTCGAAAATTTAAATTTGCGAGATAATTGATCGGGAATACCGCTAAAGTCTTTAGCAAAAAGTATCGAACAAAAAATGTATGGCGCACTTTTTGATTGGTCCAGCGGATGCTGAGCTACACTAGAAAACAAATTTGGAAAAAATTTAGAAAAATTAAATTTGCGATATAATCGTTCCGTAATACCGCCAATAAAATAGGGAAAAAGTTTCGAACAAAATATGTATGGCGCACTTTTTGATTGGTCCAGTGGATGCTGAGCTACACTAGAAAACAAATTTGGAAAAATTTACGAAAAATTAAGTTCGCGAGATAATGTCTCGGGAATACCGCCAAAAAAATTGCCAAAAAGTTCCGAACAAAATATGTATGGCGCACTTTTTGATTGGTCCAGCGGATGCTGAGCTACACTCAGATAAATTTTTTAAAAAATTTCGAAAAATTAAATTTGGGAGATAATTGATCGGGAATACCGCCAAAGTCTTAACCCGGGAGTCTCGAACAAAAAATGTATGGGGCACTTTTTGATTGGTCCAGTGGATGCTGAGATACACTAAAAAATATTTTGGAAAAATTTCGAAAAATTAAATTCGCTAGATAATTGATCGGGAATAACGCCATAGTGATTAGAAGAAAGTTCTGAACAAAAAATGTATGAGGCACTTTTTGATTGGTCCAGCGGATGCTGAGCTACACTCAGATGAATTTTTAAAAAAATTTCGAAAAATTAAATTTGCGAGATAATTGATCGGGAATACCGCTAAAGTCTTAACCCGGGAGTCTCGAACAAAAAATGTATGGCGCACTTTTTGATTGGTCCAGCGGATGCTGAGCTACACTCAGATAAATTTTTTAAAAAATTTCGAAAAATTAAATTTGCGAGATAATTGATCGGGAATACCGCCAAAGTCTTTAGCAAAAAGTAGCGAACAAAAAATGTATGGCGCACTTTTTGATTGGTCCAGCGGATGCTGAGCTACACTAGAAAACAAATTTGGAAAAATTTACGAAAAATTAAGTTCGCGAGATAATGTCTCGGGAATACCGCCAAAAAAATAGTCAAAAAGTTCCGAACAAAATATGTATGGCGCACTTTTTGATTGGTCCAGCGGATGCTGAGCTACACTAGAAAACAAATTTGGAGAAAATTTAGAAAAATTAAATTTGCAAAATAATGGTTCCGGAATACCGCCAATAAAATAGGGAAAAAGTTTTGAACAAAATATGTATGGCGCACTTTTTGATTGGTCCAGCGGATGCTGAGCTACACTTAAAAATATTTTGGAAAAATTTTCGAAAAATTAAATTTTCCAGATAATCGTTCGGGAATACCGCCAAAGTCTTAAGCAAAAAGTAGCGAACAAAAAATGTATGGCGCACTTTTTGATTGGTCCAGCGGATGCTGAGCTACACTAGAAAACAAATTTGGAAAAAATTTAGAAAAATTAAATTTGCGAGATAATCGTTCTGGAATACCGCCAATAAAATAGGGAAAAAGATTCGATCAAAATATGTATGGCGCACTTTTTGATTGGTCCAGTGGATGCTGAGCTACACTTAAAAATATTTTGGAAAAATTTTCGAAAAATTAAATTTGCGAGATAATCGTTCGGGAATACCGCCATAATGATTAGAAGAAAGTTCTGAACAAAAAATGTATGGGACACTTTTTGATTGGTCCAGCGGATGCTGAGCTACACTTAAAAATATTTTGGAAAAATTTTCGAAATATTAAATTTTCCAGATAATCGTTCAAGAATACCGCCAAAGTCTTTAGCAAAAAGTAGCGAACAAAAAATGTATGGCGCACTTTTTGATTGGTCCAGCGGATGCTGAGCTACACTAGAAAACAAATTTGGAAAAAATTTAGAAAAATTAAATTTGCGAGATAATCGTTCTGCAATACCGACAATAAAATGGGGAAAAAGTTTCGAACAAAATATGTATGGCGCACTTTTTGATTGGTCCAGCGGATGCTGAGCTACACTCAGATAAATTTTTTAAAAAATTTCGAAAAATTAAATTTTCCAAATAATCGTTCGGGAATACCACCAAAATCTTTAGCAAAAAGTAGCGAACAAAAAATGTATGGCGCACTTTTTGATTGGTACAGCGGATGCTGAGCTACACTAGAAAACAAATTTGGAAAAAATTTAGAAAAATTAAATTAGCGATATAATCGTTCCGTAATACCGCCAATAAAATAGGGAAAAAGTTTCGAACAAAATATGTATGGCGCACTTTTTGATTGGTCCAGTGGATGCTGAGCAACACTTAAAAATATTTTGGAAAAATTTTCGAAAAATTAAATTTGCGAGATAATCGTTCATGAATACCGCCATAGTGATTAGAAGAAAGTTCTGAACAAAAAATGTATAGCGCACTTTTTGATTGGTCCAGCGGATGCTGAGCTACACTAGAAAACAAATTTGGAAAAAATTTAGAAAAATTAAATTTGCGAGATAATCGTTCCGGAATACCGCCAATAAAATAGGGAAAAAGTTTCGAACAAAATATGTATGGCGCACTTTTTGATTGGTCCAGTGGATGCTGAGCTACACTTAAAAATATTTTGGAAAAATTTTCGAAAAATTAAATTTGCGAGATAATCGTTCGGGAATTCCGCCATAGTGATTAGAAGAAAGTTTTGAACAAAATATGTATAGCGCACTTTTTGATTGGTCCAGCGGATGCTGAGCTACACTAGAAAACAAATTTGGAAAAAATTTCGAAAAATTAAATTTTTCAGATAATCGTTCGGGAATACCTCCAAAGTCTTTAGCAAAAAGTAGCGAACAAAAAATGTATGGCGCACTTTTTGATTGGTCCAGCGGATGCTGAGCTACACTAGAAAACAAATTTGGAAAAAATTTAGAAAAATTAAATTTTCAAGATAATCGTTCTGGAATACCGCCAATAAAATAGGGAAAAAGTTTCGAACAAAATATGTATGTCGCACTTTTTGATTGGTCCAGTGGATGCTGAGCTACACTTAAAAATATTTTGGAAAAGTTTTCGAAAAATTAAATTTGCGAGATAATCGTTCAGGAATACCGCCATAATGATTAGAAGTAAGTTCTGAACAAAAAATGTATGGCGCACTTTTTGATTGGTCCAGCGGATGCTGAGCTACACTTAAAAATATTTTGGAAAAATTTTCAAAAAATTAAATTTTCCAGATAATCGTTCGGGAATACCGCCAAAGTCTTAACCCGGGAGTCTCGAACAAAAAATGTATGGGGCACTTTTTGATTGGTCCAGCGGATGCTGAGCTACACTAGAAAACAAATTTGGAAAAAATTTAGAAAAATTAAATCTGCGATATAATCGTTCCGTAATACCGCCAATAAAATAGGGAAAAAGTTTCGAACAAAATATGTATGGCGCACTTTTTGATT